AAGGGCAATCCCTTAACAGGTGGATAGTTGACTCACAAAGGGTGTGTGCGCCTTTCAGCCAGCCCTGGGAGATTCCTGTTGCAAAAGGCCAGCAGACCTCTGACCTGTGTTAGTGTCCTTTTGCAGTAGTTCCAGTGGGTGAAGAGATGTTCCTGAGCTCGGTAACCAGAAAGCAGCAGGGGTCAGAGAGGCCCAGGGAAGGCAGCGCGGGTGGCCTGTTGGAAGTCCTCTGGAGCGTCTTGCTGGTTGGGTTTCCACTCAGAGGGAACAACCCGTATGCTCACCCCGTCCACGTGAGCCGTCAGGTCCCTGCGGGAAGAACGCAAGTATGTTAGTAGTCAGAGTCCCACCAACCTTCAGGCTCTGTATAACTTGGGGAAGAGAGGGCCAAGAGATTTGCAGAGGTCTCCTCTGGAGTAAGATGTTACATTTGCTGTAGGTCACATGGCCTGGAGTTTCACTTGGACATGAGGCCCTTGCCTGTATTAATGGCCCAGCCGCGTTGTCCCATGTGGATGAGCAGGAGTGCAGCCCTGTGGGATGGCGTCTTCGTCTGGGCCCCGCAGAGGGATGCTGTCAGTGTAGTGGAAGGCTGGGAGTCCCTCTGAGCGGGCTTTGTCCACGTCCTGCCTGACTGGCTGAAGACACGCAGATGGGGAACTTAGGGAGCCCTGGGGAAGGACGTTAGTGGCATATTTCAGTTACCCCTACATTAGGGTTCACTGATCCTGTCATGTGCATGAAGAGGGCTGCTGTGTGCCGGGTCTCCTCCTCTTGGGCGACAGCGTCCACAGCAGGCACAGCGTTCGTGCCTCCTTGGTACTGGCACTTTGTGCAGCCTTAATCAGCCCCCAGACCGTCGTGCGTAAGCCACGCGGGGCTGCTGAGTGGAGAAATCGTCCATGGAATGTGCTGGCTTCTGTAAGCTCAGCAACAAGGACACGTTTGTTGTTTACACCCAGGTAGTCAGTGTTGCTTTCGGAATCTGGTCATTGGGTGGCTAAAGATTCTCCACCTGTTAACATATCCTAACTTCAGCAAATCCCATCAGAATTTAGAGTGAGTGAGAGTGCTGGGTCACATAAATGACACATCTCTGCCAACAGTGCACTCAGTAGTAGAGGCGGTAACAACGGCATGGACCAGAGTCTGGCCGGAGAAGGTTTCTGTCGGTGCTGGTGGCCCCAGATCAGACAGCGTGGTCTGTTTTCCCCTCATCCTGTTGTGAGGCTGGCAGGGACTATGGTTACTAGTGTACAGGTGTCCAGAAGGCCCCAGAAGTACGATTACCCTCCACCTGCATTGTGAACTTCGTCCGTGGAACAGGCCCTCGTGTCTTCACTGGGGACGTAGGTGCCTCGGTGTAACCCCATGCTGTTTGTTTGGATCGGCAGCTGCAGTCGGGATGAGTGTGTGTGGCGGCCTCTGATGCATCTCGGGGTTGACTGAGGGGGAGCAGCACCTGCTGTATACACGGCGGCCACCACAGAGCGGGCCCTAGTAGGGCTACGCGTGGGGTCCTCACAGCCCGTAATCTGACCAGTGCTCTGCCTTGGCGGGGAGCATTACTTTACTCCTCCGGGGACCCTAAGTTATGGCAATTGCCCACGTCATCCAGGAGAGGGAGCATTATCACCATTTTTACGTTACTTTTCCTTTCTGGGCAGCAGCCAATTTTTGTGTGCCTGAAACTTTGCCTGACTAAGATCTGACTGTGTGACAACTGATGGCCACAGCTTATGGGGAGACTTGATTGAGCTTGGTGACCAGCGAGAGTCACAGAAGCGAACCTAGTAATCTGGGTCTGGTGCGACCCACTCTTTGGGGTTCTCTCTGGGTCAGCGGAAGAAGTGGTTCCAGAGCCCTTTTACGATCTTTCTCACTGAAAGAAGGAGTCTCACTGTCGGGCCTCACAACTAACAGGGGTCGGAGAGTGTGACTGAGCTTGCAGGGTCTCTGATGACATCTGGTCCACCTGGAGAACCGTAGCCATTAACCTGGGAACTGCTGCCCTCACTTTCTCAGCCCTGAGGTCAGAGGGACATCAGGGGAAGTTGACCAGAGCTTGGAGGCTAAAGTGAAGGACCAGCGTTCCCCTCAAACGGACAGTCGTATTTAACAGTTCTCGAGAACCTTCTGGGGTGCTCTGTGGCCTCACCAGCGCTCCCCGAGATGCACTGGCATGACTGGCAGAGGGTCCCATTGGAGCCTCACCCTCTGCAGTGATGCTTTTG